CACAAGGAGACATTTGACAATTTGGCAGACCATGTTCATGAACACCTCACAAGGAGACATTTGACCATTTGGCAGACCATGTACGTGAACACCTCACAAGGAGACATTTGACTATTTGGCAGACCATGTACGTGAACACCTCACAAGGAGACATTTGACCATTTGGCAGACCATGTACGTGAACACCTCACAAGGAGACATTTGACCATTTGGCAGACCATGTACGTGAACACCTCACAAGGAGACATCTGACCATTTAGCAGACCATGTACGTGAACACCTCACAAGGAGACATTTGACCATTTGGCAGACCATGTTCATGAACACCTCACAAGGAGACATTTGACCATTTGGCAGACCATGTTCATGAACACCTCACAAGGAGACATTTGACCATTTGGCAGACCATGTACGTGAACACCTCATAAGGAAACATCTGACCTTTTGGCAGATCATGTTCGTGAACACCTCACAAGGAGACACTTGACAACTTGGCAGACCATCTTCGTGAACAAGGAGAAATGAGACCTGCTGTAACTGTAATGAAATGTTTCAAACCCACTTTGACATCCCTCCAATGAATACGCACGTTTCGTGGCGTAAAAAATGTGAAAATCTAAAGCTAAATCAGTTGAGATACAGCATTCGAATCCAAGACTGTACAGCATTAGTATGAACTATCCTGAACATATAAATTAAATGTAGTTTTCCTAAGTGTTCACTTGGCTGATTCCTACAACTGCTTCTGGTGATACTCAAGATAATTTATTCGTGGCTTTGCTCGCCAAGCCCTTCCTGAATTTGATAGAATCAGTTTCCTTCAAGAACAGCCTGCCAGATGATGCTTCTCAACGCGCACCTTGCAGTTTCTTCTTGGAGACTCTGAATTTTAGTTTCTTCTCCACGTGCTCAAGATAACAAAATATACCCGTAGGTTATTTCTACATTTACTAAATCTGACGGACATTTGTCGTTGGATGGTTCTTGTTATTTCAGTGCAGGTTTTTTTCGCCTTGTTTCTTTATGATTATGCTACAGTTGGTGGAGAGAGTTTCTTTTCTTCTGCGTGCATTTACAATCAGTGTGATGTCCCAAAGAAACAGCATGATGTTCACATGATCAACCACAGGTTGTCCATGTCATGACTCATCAGTGTCCACGGACAATGTTACATTGCGGAACAACTTGTTTTTGCTTTCAACACTCTCACTCATCTTGAAGACAACTGATTTGAATATCCACCCCGTTCTGGTGAGGACCGGTGCAACCGTGTACATACATATATGTAAATAAACACGTACCTGATTATCATATAAGTTGTACAAATATTCTTTGGGCATACAGTATGTCTCCTTGTGGCGTCAACAGGCTGCGAATGACGTCTCCAAGGTCACCCTTCTTTCTTTGGTTAGTACCTGACGTCAGAATACCACTGTAAGCCATGTTCACGTTTCAGGGCAGAACAATCACCGATTTATGGGCGCCTTCGCTCGTTGTACACATCGCCTGTGTTCGATTCAGTGTTTAGACCACTGTCTCGCCATTGTGACATGGCTGGAGTCCTTGAGTAAGTTGTGTAAGACCACTGTCTCGCCATTGTGACATGGCTGGAGTCCTCGAGTAAGTTGTGTAAGACCACTATCTCGCCATTGTCACATGGCTGGAGTCCTTGAGTAAGTTGTGTAAGACCACTGTCTCGCCATTGTGACATGGCTGGAGTCCTCGAGTAAGTTGTGTAAGACCACTGTCTCGCCCTTGTGACATGGCTGGAGTCCTTGAGTAAGTTGTGTAAGTCCACTGTCTCGCCATTGTGACATGGCTTGAGTCCTCGAGTAAGTTGTGTAAGACCACTGTCTCGCCCTTGTGACATGGCTGGAGTCCTTGAGTAAGTTGTGTAAGACCACTACCTCGCCATTGTGACATGGCTGGAGTCCTTGAGTAAGTTCTGTAAGACCACTGTCTCGCCATTGTGACATTGCTGGAGTCCTTGAGTAAGTTGCGTAAGACCACTCTCTCGCCATTGTGACATGGCTGGAGTCCTTGAGTAAGTTTTGTAAGACCACTGTCTCGCCATTGTGACATGGCTGGAGTCCTTGAGTAAGTTGTGTAAGACCACTGTCTCGCCATTGTGACATGGCTGGAGTCCTCGAGTAAGTTGTGTCAGACCACTGTCTCGCCCTTGTGACATGGCTGGAGTCCTTGAGTAAGTTGTGTAAGACCACTGTCTCGCCATTGTGACATGGCTGGAGTCCTCGAGTAAGTTGTGTAAGACCACTGTCTCGCCCTTGTGACATGGCTGGAGTCCTTGAGTAAGTTCTGTAAGACCACTGTCTCGCCATTGTGACATGACTGGAGTACTTGAGTAAGTTGTGTAAGACCACTGTCTCGCCCTTGTGACATGGCTGGAGTCCTCGAGTAAGTTGTGTAAGACCACTATCTCGCCATTGTGACATGGCTGGAGTCCTTGAGTAAGTTCTGTAAGACCACTGTCTCGCCATTGTGACATGGCTGGAGTCCTCGAGTAAGTTGTGTAAGACCACTATCTCGCCATTGTGACATGGCTGGAGTCCTTGAGTACGTTGTGTAAGACCACTGTCTCGCCATTGTGACATGGCTGGAGTCCTCGAGTACGTTGTGTAAGACCACTATCTCGCCATTGTGACATGGCTGGAGTCCTTGAGTACGTTGTGTAAGACCACTATCTCGTCATTGTGACATGGCTGGAGTCCTTGAGTACGTTGTGTAAGACCACTATCTCGTCATTGTGATGTGGCTGGAGTCCTTGAGTACGTTGTGTAAGACCACTATCTCGCCATTGTGACATGGCTGGAGTCCTTGAGTACGTTGTGTAAGACCACTATCTCGCCATTGTGATGTGGCTGGAGTCCTTGAGTACGTTGTGTAAGACCACTATCTCGCCATTGTGATGTGGCTGGAGTCCTTGAGTACGTTGTGTAAGACCACTATCTCGCCATTGTGATGTGGCTGGAGTCCTTGAGTACGTTGTGTAAGACCACTCTCTCGCCATTGTGACATGGCTGGAGTCCTCGAGTAAGTTGTGTAAGACCACTGTCTCGCCATTGTGACATGGCTGGAGTCCTTGAGTAGTTTGTGTAAGACCACTATCTCGCCATTGTGACATGGCTGGAGTCCTTGAGTAAGTTGACCATGGCCACTATATACATGAATCATTGTGTACGACCACAGCATATCATAAAAGGAGACAAACCTATGAGATTCGATACGTATTTATTTTAATATTAAACCCGAACGCGATAGCGTGAGGTTTCGAATTTCTTTCCTTTTCTCAACTGAAAACACCGTTGCTCTATCTCCACTCCTCCATGTCACCGTGACCGTGAAAATGATTACTGGTATGGCATCTGTTGAGTGTAATATTTTCAGTTTTTATTTTGAGTATAATCAGTTGCATTGAAAGGACGAATTCAGTTATCACTGAACGCATAAGGTTTTTGCTCTCATATATCCAACTTTCAGCATTGTGCTGGAACCACTTCAAGGCTACGTATTCAAACTGCCACACCGTTATTATGACATCATAAAGTCCTACAGACGGGAGGTCCAAGCATTGTGACGCGTTAGACATGACGTCACAGTACGTGATAGAGTAGCGACAAAAGTCAAGCTGTGTTTATGCTACTGAATTTCACATTTCGCTCTCTAGGTTGCTGTTCGTCAAGTTTTCCGCCTACAATAAATTGCCACATTGCTTTCCATAATGAAAGAACATGTTATTCAGTCTATGAGTGTTTGAAACTGCTTACCGGGCGGGTTTGCGAAAAGAGTTCTCCTGAATAAATATTTTATTTCGCGGTGATGCGGTCATCAGCAAAATCGTGGTCTAACGTAGATATGATACCGCTTGAGGACCAATCAGAATTCAGGGTTCTAACACGTCAAGTCGGAGATGCTTTTGATACAGAGAAGGGGTGTCAAGGCACTTGAAGAACTTGTTCCAGGATTATTATCTCGTTGACTATTTAGCTAACACCTGGTGTCGACGTTGCACTGTAATACATGAGTTTGGAATATAAACACAAACAAGACATGTACTAAACTTGTTTAAACGGCATACACATTTGGTTTGTTCTATCTGAACACGTTAGTGTCTAAATACATGAAATGTGCTATCGTCTCACAGATTTAACACCACCCAAACACAACATCCCCATTATCTTAACGTTTAGAATTTCAACATGTTGAAATAATTAAACATGTTTTTAATTTAAACAAACTTAATTAGTGTTTGAACATGTTTGAAATTTAGATGTCTTAAACAAGTCAAATTTATGGGATAAGGAACGTATTTAGGTTTGTGTTTAGGATCTAAACATATTTATCACTGTGTGACAGGTGACTTAGCCCCTGTAGTTTTGTTTGAACCCTGAATACAACAATCCCAAAGGCACTGAAGTTTGAATTTCTGGCCGGATATGTATGATAAATATCCGAGTTTCAGATGAATAACTCGCAACGTTTCACAGACTTGTAGCATGATGTGACTCAATCCACACGTACGGCTGTGCAGGCATACTGCAATAGGCATGCACATCCTTGGGTGTGACATGTATATTTTGTATTGTTCAGTAAGAACGCAGTCATTAATAAAATATAAGTAAATATATCCCAACTCCGAAAATGAGGGTTTGCTGGGAAACCAGAGGCAAGCAATACTCTGGAACGTTTTGAACCGAAACACACAAACGTTCCAAGTGTGTTGGCAGGTCAGATTGTGAACCCAGTGTCACGCAAGAGGTTGTTCATATGTCACCCTCGGACCTAATCGGCCTTCTCTGTGGCGCATTCTAAACCCGTCGCAGCTCGACGGCTTGTTTGCAGTCATATGCCCCTTTAAAACACATTCTACCTTACTGCTGATAAATGCATACAAGATATCCCCAATACTAACTGTTGGCGGACCCCTAGTTCATGGTAGCGCACGACCAAACTGCCATGGCCGGTACGCACAGTCCGTACACGGGACTGGACGGGTAGTGTACAGTCACCATGGTTATTCGTCTGCCTACCTTCTCTGCTGAAGAGTTCTACCACGCCCCCTACCGGGGAAATGTGGCGGTCTCGTGGCAAACAGTGAGATTCGCGCATGCAACAATGGCAGACGTCATATAACCCTGGAGAGACTTACCTCAAGTCGAGGGATTTTCTGCACTTTAGGGATCCGCTGGCGGTACTCGGGTTAGGCAAGCGCCTCTCATTACGGCTACTGTAGTGTTGGACACAGAAGGATAATGTTGAATTTGTAGGGAGAAATCTGCTTGACTTGTTGCTTATCTTGGGATTTTTACTTGATGGGTTAACTTTAATCAAGGCGGTCAGCGTATGGTTTATCAGGTAGGTGATGCAATTCATCGGAACTTTTCTCTTCTTTTGAAAATAAGTAAATAATACTTATATCATATGTTAATTTTATTTTCATATTATTTAATGTCTTTGTAACTATTTTCTTTAGTATTTAGCTTGACGGGTTTGAATGAAGGGAGTTTTATGTTTGAGTTTGATAAATATGTCGCAAACTCCCCCTCCTCCTGTGCGGGTTGATTTTTCTCCTGTGCAGCCTCAGCACATTAGCGGTGTCCGAGCACACATCGTTCTGACGTTCGTAACGGAATGCAATTTCTATTTGTACTGGCATAAAACACGCTCCTAAATAACTACGACTAGCATCATCATATTGTTTTTTTAAGTGTTTTAGCAAAGGTTGAATGTTACATCATCGTGAGAGAGAAAATTGAACAAAAAACTTTTGGCCACGAGTGAGAAGCACCTCTAGCGTTTTATTGATGCAAATCTGGGTGGAGAGCTGTGATTTAATTGACGTACTTTATTTGATGACAGACTTATAGAACAGCGTCACGTGATCCTGTGTTTAACTTCAAAATGAACACGACTGTGTATATCTGGGCGTGGATGGGAATGCGCTGGACGGATAATAAAGCCTTGTTTTAAATTCTGGAAATTAGCGAGAGGGTTATTTTAAGATATGCGTGTGATTAAAGATCGCGATCGTGAAACTTTAGATTGGTTCGCTTCATTCAGTTGGTATGGCTGGGTTTCTATGAGGCAGGGGGAAGGGGGGGGGGGGGGGGGGAGGCTGCGAGTTAATTTTGGACTTACCGGAAGTATTGTAATGAACATTTGACCCCGAGTAGGATGGATCTATGGGAGAATAAGCACCAGATGGGTGTTGCCATGCTGTATACATTCATACCTACGCTAAGTTAACCTGAAATATCGGCACTGTGGCAGTATATATATGTTTGTGGTCCAGTCAAGACGTCCGAGGTACCTGACCAGAGCGGGTAGATATAGGTGTATATTATATATATAACCTGGTTATTGCTGACTGTCATCAGATATGATATCTAGATGTTCTCGTGCGACGTGTAAAGTTTTTGGCGCTTTGTAGTATCTTCTTCGGCAGTTTTCTGATGGTGTTTCTATGAGTGTAGCTTTGAAACAGGGCGTGTTACATTCGAGTAGCGGTCCTCTCGTGTCGTCTTATATATTTATACTCTCGTTCTCTTTGCAATGCAGATTGTACCAGCGGTGTGTGGAGTTCTGACCTGGATTATGCTGTGCAGGTGGAGTTTACTGTAGCAGTGTTGGGAGTTTACTGATGTTTGCGACTGAAGAGGATTCGGAGATTGTTCGTAACACCACTGTCCGGAGCAGAGTAAGTTGTAACATTTCCTCTTTTAAATAACCTAATCAACATTTTGGGTGTATATATATACAATTCATTGAAAGTCAAAAGGTATTATGACATTTGATGTAATGGGACCGGTTCAAGTTCACACGCAGTGGACTTTCGTTCAAGCGATAGGCGAACGTCATTCACTGGATAGACGAATATAAAGACCAAATGGACTTCAGAGTAGATGTAGGAACCTTGCTCGCAATGGCAACTCCTTGCAGGGCTGTAGCGTGTTCTCCTTCCCAATGGCCACACCCGGGTGTGAACGTGGCCAGGCCGTTCAGGCCCTCTGACAACTCTCCACATCAATCTTGAAGATCACATTACAACACTTAGGTAGCTTTGCCCCGACTCATTGGTTTCAACACAACACTAACGCACCTCTACAACCTGTTAATGTATATCACAATTGTAATAGGAATACATCGCTTGTCTGGTCATATTCTGTATGGGATTTCAAGTATACGGAGCATGCGTTGACAAGCGCTCTTCATTCAGTAAAAGATGATGATGTTGCCGTACTTGTTGTTGCTGTTGGCACCGGCGCGGGTCGAGACTGTTTCCCATTTTTGTGGCCACGTTTCAAGCTTTTATTTCAGTCTAAAACTCGATAGAACAACACAGTTAGATAACATCTTGCTTCAAGACCCATGCCAAGAATCACAGCTTCTTAGTTTGCTGCTAGTGTTTTTGAATACTGTTATTTTCCACCGTCGTCGTCCCATTACGGCGTCTTGGCTGCTGCCGGTCATGTCGCTGTTTGAGCCTTGTGTAATAGGCATGTCAGTTATTGGCGCATGAGAGACATGCATATAAGTAATAAGCCACCAGCCACATGAGAAATAGGAACACCGGCAATACGTAAGCACGGTAGTAACAACCGTTGCGTCTACGTCATATCGGTATATTTCTGACTGAAAACTGCAGGAAAGAAAATATTTTATAGTCGTTGCAGTTTTCTAAAACCTCTGTTCTGAACAGAATAATAGCAGAATTATCATAAATTCGTGTTGGGAATGGAACATGACAAAATACGACATTCCAGTGGTGGTTTATTCGGGCATGTAGTGACCTCAGCAGAGAGGAGGTTCACCGTTCTACATCGCCCGGTAGTGTGTTTGCTGTGTACATTAAACATATGCCAAAACCAATGCATCTCCACTTTGGTATTTTGAATCCGTGAGTAACGATGATAGACAGACCGACCACAAAGCAACATCGCTGATTGCAGCACGGGTTCCGCACACAGAGGCGCTATGATGCAACCTGCACAGGACCAGCGAGTCAGCACTGGGCATGTTTAGCTAGGCTGCATGTACATGTGTGCACACAAATACAACCTGCGACAAGAATAGTCTGCAGATGAGGAAGAATTGTACTGAATTTATTGTCCGTGTAGTGTACGTTGATTTTACGACTACCCCAGTGATGGAAGGTATGGCTATATCAGCCGCTTTCTTTGTTTGTTGTTTAAATTCGCACTCAGCAATATTTCAGCTATATGACAGCGGTCTGTAAATAATCGAGTCTGAACCAGACAATCCAGTGACTGACATCATGAGCATCAATCCACGCAACTGGGATACATGTATCAACCTAGTCAGCGACCACCCGATCCCGTTAGTCGCCTCGTACGACAAGCATAGTCGCCTTTTACGGCAACGTGGGTTGCTGAAGACGTATTGTACCCCGGATCTGACTGGAGTTTGAGTCTGGAAGCAGATATTCATGACATCTTGCACCAGTGACGTCGTGTTTCCCACCTATTGTATCAGTGAGTAGGGACATGTGTGTTCGCTCGTCTTAAAGAGTGTCCGGGTTCGATGTGTGGAATTAACATATAATCTCTTGTTCCTGTTAAGCATGTTTCCTTAACCGAAAGTATCCTAAACCCAACTTTCTCACAGACGCAGCCACCATCCAAGTTGTTGACTTACCCCCAATCAGTCAGTCACGAACTAACATACTATCTCACTCACTCACCCCTTAAAATACTTTTGACTTACTGACTACTTCACTTACTCAGGCACTTCCACATGCCTTGACTAAATCACTCACCTACTTCTACGCGTCTTCACTACTTCACCCACTTCCACACGTCTTCACAACCTCACCCATCCCCTTCCACAAGTCTTCACTACCTCACCATCCACTTCCACACGTCTTCACTACATCACCATTCACTTCCACACGTCTTCACTACCTCACCCATCCACTACCACACGTCTTCACTACCTCACCAATCCACTACCATACGTCTTTACAACCTCACCATCCACTTCAACACGTCTTCACTACCTCACCATCCACTTCCACACGTCTTCACAACCTCACCCATCCACTTCCACACGTCTTCACTACCTCACCCATCCACTTCCACACGTCTTCACAACCTCGCCATCCATGTCCACACGCCTTCACTACCTCACCATCCACTTCCACACGTCTTCACAACCTCACCATCCATGTCCACACGCCTTAACTACCTCACCATCCACTTCCACACGTCTTCACTACCTCACCCATCCACTTCCACACGTCTTCACAACCTCACCCATCCACTTTCACACGTCTTCACTACCTCACCCATCCACTTCCACAGTCTTCACTACTTCACCCATCCACTTCCACAAGTCTTCACTACCTCACCATCCACTTCCACACGTCTTCACTACCTCACCATTCACTTCCACACGTCTTCACTACCTCACCCATCCACTACCACACGTCTTCACTACCTCACCAATCCACTACCATACGTCTTTACAACCTCACCATCCACTTCCACACGTATTCACTACCTCACCATCCACTTCCACACGTCTTCACAACCTCACCATCCACTTCCACACGTCTTCACTACCTCACCCATCCACTTCCACACGTCTTCACAACCTCACCATCCATGTCCACACGCCTTCACTACCTCACCATCCACTTCCACACGTCTTCACAACCTCACCATCCATGTCCACACGCCTTCACTACCTCACCATCCACTTCCACATGTCTTCCCTACCTCACCCATCCACTTCCACACGTCTTAACAACCTCACCATCCATGTCCACACGCCTTCACTACTTCACCCATCCACTACCATTCATCTTTACAACCTCACCATCCACTTCCACACGTCTTCACTACCTCAACCATCCACTACCACACGTGTTCACTACCTCACCTTGTCACCTACTGACGTATTCACTCACTTGCTACGTTACTATCTCACTCACTCACCCTTTACCTCACTTACAGAGTGGCCCTATCGTCTACGTCGTCACAATCCGCCGTGCAGAGTTACGTCCCTTAGCCTTGCCACATTTCTATCATCGTGTTCGAATCCCCGATTCGCGTTGATGTTTTCTTTAGGTTTGTCAGCACCATATTTATACTCGTGGGTTTCACCAGTGTGGTAAACGTCTAAGACCTGCGCCACTTCTGGCTTTCCTTCCACATCAAGCTGACACCCCGTGATGTAACTGAAAGCGGTTTTAAACCAAACCCACTCACTCACTTGAGTGTATCTCCTTGTACTCTGCCACTTATATATCATATACACTAGTCCATTAACCGCATATCAAATCAGCTTTGAGAACACTTACAGCAGGCAACAGAGATCAACTGTGAGCTGTTGAAACCTGGCCTATACATCGCCACGTTCTTTAGTCTATGGGCCTCACGTCATACAGAACACCTCACTCTCATATACATGCCACAGTTCCTGTTTACACTCACTTCAACACACCCGATTTATCATGACCGTATATTGTGTAATGCACTTATTACTGTTGATCTTGTACCCAAGCGTGTTCCGTCAGATGGGGTTATCCTCGGCAGGTCGATCCGCTGCGCGCGCATACAGTTGTGTGAGAACTTCGTGGACCCTTGATGTAACGGATGTGAGAATTTGTCTTTCAAAGTTGAGGCCTATGACTTAACATTTGTCATTTACACTTCATTCCTGTGAGGTCATAGCTTGGGAAAACCGCAGTGGCGACCTGGTGTCACAGCCCCTGAATACCTACACACTTCACACATCTACATCAGCTGGAACAGCCTAACTGGCGAGCACTGAAGCACTGCTCAAGCTTTGGGGAGGCGTTAGAACCACGTTCAAATAAGTCCCTCTCAAGTGCAGGTTCATCGGTATCGCGATGCCGTCAGCTGATGTATTCCGTTATGATGTCCACTCTGTCTATATATTGTGCTTGTCACCATGGTGATTTGATAATTTGCAGGATTTCCTGATTTTATGTGTCAGTTAGGACATTAGGAATTGGGTGTGTGTGGAATGCTCACGTGCATTATTTGATGTGGGTCAGTTTAGTCGGTGTATGATACACACGTGCATTATTTGATGCGAGTCAGTTTAGTCTGTGTAGGATACACAAGTGCACTTGGTGATGCGAGTCAGTTTAGTCTGTGTAGGATACACACGTGCACTATTTGATGCGAGTCAGTTTAGTCTGTGTAGGATACACACGTGCACTATTTGATGCGAGTCAGTTTAGTCTGTGTAGGATACACACGTGCATTATTTGATGCGAGTCAGTTTAGTCTGTGAATGATACACACGTGCACTATTTGATGCGAGTCAGTTGAGTCTGTGTAGGATACACACGTGCACTATGTAATGCGAGTCAGTTGAGTCTGTGTAGGATACACAAGTGCACTATTTGATGCGAGTCAGTTTAGTCTGTGTAGGATACACACGTGCACTATTTGATGCGAGTCAGTTTAGTCTGTGTAGGATACACACGTGCACTATTTGATGCGAGTCAGTTTAGTCTGTGTAGGATACACGCGTACACTATGTGATGTGAGTCAGTTTAGTCTGTGGAGGATATATACGTGCACTATGTAATGTGAGTCAGTTTAGTCTGTGTAGGATACCCACGTGCACTATGTGATGTGAATCTGTGTATGATCAAGTAGAAAATGAACATAGTTGTAATAAAGTGTAGTTGAATAAAAGCTT